CTGGGAGCCGGCATGCCAGTGTGCGCGGAGTGCTCGGCCCCTGCCCGTGGGGCCGGCTCTTCGCCCCAGGAGGAGGGGAAGGAGGAGGGGGAGGTGGAGGAGGAGGAGGAGGGGGAGGAGGAAGAGGAGGAGGAGGGGGAGGAGGAGGAGGAGGAGGAAGGGGAGGAGGAGGAGGAGGAAGAGGGGAGGAGGAGGGGGAAGTTCTTCTGGCCCGAGAATGGCCCGAGCTCCCGGTTGGCTCGCGGCCATCAATGACGGTCGTAATGACTTGGCAGCCTCTTGGCGTGCCCCCCCCCGTCACAGCATCTGCCATGGATTTCTGGTCTTTCAAACCTCTTAGCGACTTAGCCTCATTTACACCAGTCAGGAGACCAAGCTGGTGGCACATTCGACATGCCGGGAGTGCTTAACAGCTGGTTGTAATGGGTTAGTAGTGAGGTTAACGTCGGAAGATCTTTAATGCTGCCAGCCCCCTGCCCGACCCCCCCGTGAGGGTCTGCCGTCCGCTTTGATGTCCCGCCCGTCCGACGTAGCTGACCCGCCCGTTAGAGTCTTGGGTCCACCAGCCCGGCCCGGCCAACTCACCCTCGAGGTTCACCCAGAAGCTGGCATGAAAGAATGAAACCCTTCAAAGGTGGTATTTTCGTAAACGAAGAGGGTGGCGGGAGTCGAGGGTTTCGGACATACTTGTTGGGTGGCACGCGGGCATTGAAGAGCGAGCAGTCTCAAAACGGCCATTCCTGTGATTGTTGCGGCTGGCGGTGGCGGTGATGATGATGATGCTGATGATGATGCTGATGTTGATGCTGATGCTGATGCTGATGATGATGATGATGCTGATGATGATGATGATGATGATGATGATGATGATGATGATGATGATGATGATGATGATACTGACTATGATGCCTGACGGTCCAGGAGCCCGGCGGGGACCCCCAGGGGCCGAAAATGGGGAAACACTCGCCGTCCTGATTTTGTCACGACGCGATCCCGTCTGGGCCCTGTGCCTCGCCGGGCTCCCCCCCGGCCAGCTCGTTGGCGGGGCGTGCGTGGGGCCCCGCGCCCTGCGCTCGAGGCCGCCCGCCGGTGAGCACGCTGCCCCGCAGGGGTGCCCGGCGCCCTGCTCTTACCAGCCTGGAACATATCCCAGCGTGCGCACGCTTCCGAGGCGCTGCAGGGGCGCGCGTGCACGAATCCCGCTCTAATGCACATGCGTTTCACGTAGCCAGTCTTCCTGCCGATGCGCCGTCCAGGCGCAGCAGTGTGTGTGTGTGTGTGCGTGGGTCAGAAGATTTACCAGCCTGGAACATATCCCTATCCCCTATGCTGGGCACCTCATCACGATGCCAATCTTAGGGGTTCCCTTATTTTTTGAGGGCGAATCCCGAAGATTGTCATCGCCTTTTGGCGTGTCAATCTCAGGGATAGGGATCCGTTCGAGGCTGGTAATGCTCCCGGCGCGCCCGGCCGGATGCTCCGCTACGCGGCGCAGCATCCAGTCGGGCATGGCCCTCTGCAGGAGGGAAGCTCAAGCTCGGAAACTGGAGCGTCTACCCAGACCCCCTCGCGTCGTGAAGAATTCACGACGGGAGGTTGTTCGCTATTTTCGGCCTCGGGGGGCCTTTCCTGGGCCGCGGGACCGTCAAACAGCGACTCAGGATGAAAAACCTGTCCTGGGGAAGAGGTCCAGACCTCTGGGGGTCGAGGTTGCGAAAAAGTCACGACGTCGGGGGTCCGGGTACATTACCAGTGGCGGGGTGCTTCTTGAATCCCAGGATTTTTTGGGGGTCGGGGACGACGTTTGGGCGGTGTGGCGTATATTTTTTCCCCGGGGTTCCCAGGGAAACATAGTCAAGTCGGGTTTGTCCCTCTACAGGAGGAGTATCCCAAAACAATTTTAAAAATAGTCAGGGGACGAGTTTTCGACTATTTTTTGGCTGTTTTTGAATGTTGGTTGACTATTTTTTAATTTGCCTTCCAAAATCCGCTTGTAGGGGGGACACGCCCGACCTAAGCGTAGCACGGGCAGGGCTGGATCTTGAGCCTCAAAGCCTCTCCGGCCGGGTCCGCGCCAGGAGGATCGATCTCCGCGATGGTCTCCCGGATGTTCGCGCCTCGAGCCGGCTGTTCCGGTTGCCGTTGCCTCCCCTGGGGTGAGTGGTGTGCGCGTACCTCACCTGCTGAAGCAACTTCTTCAAGGCTCTGTCCTTACCTCTGGCCATCATGATCTCGCCGAACTTGGTCAGACGATTGATGTCGGCCTCGCTGTTCTTGCCCTTGTGGCGCTGAAGCGCGAGCTTCGCCCACGTGTTGAAGACCTGCACATGTGGATCTCCGATTGTGCGCCTGCGAGTCTCCACGCTGAGCTCCTTGGCTCATGGCATGGTACTCTTACTTTCGACTTGATGCATAAGATCGGTAAGGCAGAATGACTACAGCGAGTTGGATTGCATCTCGACTCTCTTGCCATGCAACAGTGCATCCGCGAGAGCAGGTGCAAATGCGCTCGCAGCGTTGTAGAATTTGGTGCCGTTGCCGATGTTGTTGGTGTTCAGCTTGTGCGCGACAGTCTGCCTGACCACGCGATGGCTTCTTCTGGCCTGCGGCCCGGAACGCACCCGGCAGCACGATGAGGCGCTGGTGGGCGAGCAGACCGCCGCTGCAATCCTCAAGACAATGACTTTGCCAGCAGTGGTAAAGAAGAAACGGTTCTCCAGCCTGCACATGTTGTTTCGGCACTTCCCCTTCTGGCACAGACTTATGACAAGCAGACTATCGAACTTCTTATCGTAGGAGATGGAATAGACCATTTCCTTCTCCAAAGTGCCATGCAGTCGGGTGCTCCCTGGCAAAACTCGCTTGCAGACGAACGTTTTCCAAAGAGACTTCCTCAGCAGAGCACCCTCCAAGGTCCCCTGGCTGAGCTCAATAATTGAACCCGTCTGCTTTACGGTGGGGTCTTTCAAATCTGGTTTTTCGGCAGCAAGTAACCGGGCCACGAGCTACATTCTTACGAAACGTCGTTCTCTCTTCAACACGTTGAATTCTTGCGTGAGCAGTTTTTTTTGCGTTCCAGGTCACAATTCTCGCGTGCTTGTGCGGCGAGCCGTGTTGTGCGCAGAAGATTCACCATACCCCGCCACGCACCAGACCACACACGAGAGAGCCACGTGCACCGACATTACAGCCTTCGAGCGTACGAAACAAAGATGATCTGGCCTGCGCCCAGCGCCGGTTTGCCTCTTACTTTTCACCAGCAGGTGCGCGGATGGCCAGGATGACGAATTCGAAGACCGAGCAAAGTTGCGCCTGGCGATTGTGTACAATGCATCGCGCACAAATGCGTCGCATTCCGAAGGCGATGTCCTAGATATATCGTTCCTTTCGTGCGTGCTTTGCTGCGCCCATGCTGCCACGTCGTCGAACAATACATTCCTGCCGGAGCCCTGCATCAAACACTTTACGATGGCATCGAAATTACACTGAAACCGAGTGCGCTCTGGACCGCCATGATGCAACCCAAGGTCGACAGTCATCACCACTGCACGATGGTCAGTGGGGCTGAGATGATTCGGCCGCTGAATCGAGGCCCCTTTCGGTACGTCGATCCACTAGCGGCGAGCAAGACAATGAACCCACGTCGAGACAGGCACGCAGATGTGACTTATAATCGAAGTGTACCCCCAGCGCCAGATTCCAACGGGTAGGCCCTTTGTCAACATGAGTACTCAATGCAAACATGCAATGGTCTTCCAACGTGCTCCGAATGATATTCCCGTGCGCATTCTCCACCCTTCTGCCAAAATGTGCTGTCGATGTCCTGCATGCACCCGTTGCCCAACCTCTCCTTCCCCACGCGGCCATTCGAAAGGTGTCCAACACAGTTTGCGTACGATGTCCAGCCTTACCGATCACATCACATCCCATACACACATCTGTATATGTGTATATGTGTATGTACATATGTATATATATATATACATATGTATATCTATATATACACGATTACTCTGCGATGCACGTGCAACATGCGCTGTCGATCATCGAAAAGAGGAGGGCCGGTCGATACCCGTAGCATATCGTGTGCAGGGGATTTTGTGCGAACAGCTCCTACACTTCAGTGAATAACCCCCTGCGCGCACTGGAAGCTAACGACTTGAGATCGTTTGGTGATCTTGGCATTCAGAGCGGTGATCACGCCAGCATGCTTATTTCCGGTGCACCCGTAAGCCGAAGTCGAACACGTGCAAGCTGTCGGCCGACGAGAAGATCACCCAGTGCTCGAAGACCCGTCCAAGTACCCTGCAGGCGCCCTCACCATGCTCTCCTTGGGCCTTTTGGGGCTCTCCTGTTCAGGGCCGGTGGAGGCGCTTCTCAGAGCGTCTCTGGTGCCCGTGGGCGCAGCCAGGGCGCCCCTGTCGGCCGCTTCGCTCGGCGCGACGGCGCCCGCGCCCCAGATGCACCGGCTGGAGTTAGTCTCCGCTGACTCCTTCTCGGTGGGCCGCGCTCTCGCTCTCGCTCTCTCTCGCCCATGGGCGAAGGCCGTCGCGTGCGAGGAAACATGCAGTACTTGCGCCAGGCGGCCAGCACGCACAGCCGACTGGACGTTGCAGATCAACACATGGGCGGCTGGCCGGGCCAGATGGTCCGCACCGCTCTCCCGTTGCTGGTGCCAGTCCACTCTTCTGCCACCCTTCCCGATGCTTCTCTGCGGTGGGAGGAGAGTTGCTGGAGGAGGAGGAGGACATGGAGGGAACGATGAGGATGAGGATGAGGTTGATGAGGAGGCGGAGGAGGAAGAGGAGGAGGAGGAGGAGGAGGAGGAGGAAGAGGACAAGGAGGAGGAGGAGGACTAGAAGGAGGAGGAGGACGACTAGGAGGAGGAGGAGGAGGAGGATGAGGAGGAGGAGGATGAGCAGGCGGGGGGGGATGATGAGGATGAGACGTTGTTCTGTCCTGCCTCACTCCCTCCCTCCCTCCCCCCTGCGCCCGGGAAGGGTGCGTTCCTCGCCGCGAAAAGCGAGCCCATCCTCACGGCGCTGACCGCGCTGTTCGGCTTGGTGCGCCGCCCCCGCCCCGAGTCTTGCTCCGTCCTCGTCGTCGTCGTCGTCGTCGTCGTCGTCTTCGTCTCCCTGCTGCTCCTCCTTCTTCTCCTCCTCCTGCTCCTTCTCCTCGTCCTCCTCCTTCTCTTCCTCCTCCTCCTCCTCCTCTCCCCCTCTCCCGTCTTCCTCCTTGTCCTCCTTCTCCTAGGCACCGTGCGGTCAAGCAAGATCATGTTGCCCACAGGCGGGAGGGCCCCCCCTTTACTCATGTTCCCAGCATCTTGCATGCCCCTTCCCTTCCTTTACAAAATATGTGACTCGTGACCATCATGGCGTGTACGACGAGTCTGGCAGCCACGGGCTAGAATCAAGCAGTGGCGAAGCAACCTGGCTCGCCTATAGGCCTACCAAATAATGTTCTAAGAACCTTTTGTGGTCTGCACGAAATGTTCTTAGAACATTTCTGATTGAGAGTGTCTTGTTATGATATATCGGGTTTATGTTCTAAGAACATTGTTGTTGTTGTTTTTAGAACATTTCTGGGTTCTTCGAACATTTTGTGGTAGGTCTGTAGGAATGCCGGGACGGTCGGTCACTGCTCAATACAACCCGATGCAGGCTTTAGAGGGACGACCACAAGACATCACAGGGGAAGCGCAGAGTTTGACATCACCGGGCTCAGTGTTACGACCAGACGGAGACGTAACTCCCGAATTCCAGAGGGGACCTTCCAGCACACGCATATGCTGGAGCGACAGAGCAAAACACTCCATCCAAGAGTACGGGATGTTCACCAATCAATGCTTGCACTGAAGGGGTCCTAGCGGAAGTTGAAAGATTTGGCGAAAGTTTCCCGCCGATTTTGGTAGCAGGTTGGGTTCCCGGTTTCTCAGTTCGGGGTTCCCTGGTTCCCGGTCATTGGTTCCGGGCCGATTTCGGTGGGGTTTGGGTTAGGTTCGTGAATTGACTACAGGCGGTCCAGCGGAAATCCTGCCCAAATCTTCAAAACACCTTCGGCCAGAAACTCAAACTCCAAAAAAATGTTAAAGAATCTTGAATGGGAAACTCAAAATCCAAGACAACCTGAGAGAATCTCAAACACAAAACCTGGGGAAAACTCACACACAGAAGAAACTACAGGAAATCTTGAAGCCGAAACCTAGGAAAAACTCAAAGCTTAAAACAACTTAGAAAAAACTTGAAGCGGAAACCCGGGAAACAATCAAACCCGGAAGGTTGTTTTAGAGTTTATTGTTTAAGGTTTTCCAGAGTTTTTTTCCAGAGTTTTTCCATGGTTTTTTTCCACAGTTTTTTTTTCAGTCGTTTAGAGTTTTCCCAGAGTTTTTCCAGAGTTTTTTTTTAGAGTTTTCAGTCGTTTAGAGTTTTTCGCCAGAGTTTTTCCAGAGTTTTTTCCAGAGTTGTTTTTAGAGTTTTTTTAGAGTTTTTTTTTCCAGAGTTGTTTCCACAGTTTTTCCACAGTTTTTCCCAGGTTTCGGCTTAGAGATTTTCTGGAGTTTTTTTTTGGTTTGAGTTTTTCCCAGGTTTGAGCTTCAGGTTTTTTCGTATGTTTTTGTTGGTTTGAGTTTTTCGCAGGTTCGGTGTTTGAGTTTTTTTCAGGATGTCGACCTCCCCAGGTTTTGGTTTCAAGATTTCCTGGTGTTTTTTTCTGGTTTGGGTTTTTTGGCCCGAAGTGGTCGTGGACTGCCTGTAGTCGCAATTCACGAACCTAAGGTTTGGGTTCACGGGCTCCCAGGTTCCCGGTCGATCTCTTCAGCGAAGACCATCCGCTGATTGGGTTTTTTTTGGGCGTCGTATGAACACACGGCGGGTGAACTACGACGGGCCCACCTCATCGAGGCTACGGACACCCCGCCGTCTCTCCAGGGTCGGGGCGTGGCAGCCGTGCTGCAAACGCCAGAACAGCGCCTGCCAGTTACCCCTGCGCCTATTGTCCACTTCAGCCCCGAACGGACCCACCATCTGACTACCACACGGGCACTGGATCGATCATTTTTTGGCGACTAGTAGTGCCTGCACTCAACTTATTGTATCGAAGACGCCTACGGCGAATCATCGCCGCCCCCTGCCTTTTTGGAAGCGCCAATGTGGCCGAACATTGAGGCCAGACCTGCCAAGGTATCGGACCATGTGTTCCCCGAATCGGTTTGGAAAGCCTTCGGGGAGGGAACACGTGGGCATCTTGAAGGTCCTCTTGGCCGCCTGGAGGCCATTTTGACCCTTTCGGGCCTTCTTGGAGGACGTCTTGGAGGGCTCTTGGGCCGTCTTGGAGGCCATCTTGAGCGTCTTGGAGGCCTCTTGGCTGTCTTGGGGGCCTCTTGGGGCCGTCTTGGGCCTCTTGGGCGATCTTTGGGGGCACTTGGGTCGTCTCGGGCCTTGGGAAGGCCGAACAAAAAGCAAATGCCACAATCCTTCAAAAGCATATTGGGAAATTGATATTTTTGGCCTTTTCGGGCCTTCCTTCTTGGAGACCTCTTGGGCCGTCTTGGGTCATCTTAGGGCAATCTTCGGCTGTCTTGGTGGGCCCCTGGCCGTCCGACGCTGTCGAAAGCAGTTTGGGGGGCCTCTCTGAGCCGACATGGCCCTTTTGGAATGCTCCAGGGCCGTCTTGAAGGCCATCTTGGGCGTCTTAAAAGGCCTCCTGGGCCGTCTTGGGGGCCTCTTGGGGCCGTCTTGGGGGGCCTCTAGGGCCGTTCTGGTGCCATCTTGGAGGCCTCTTGGGCGATCTTTGGGCGATCTTTGGGGGCTCTTGGGCCGTATCGGGCCGTCGGAAGGCCGAATCGAATCAACTGTCAAAATCTTTCAAACACCTAAGGAAAATCAGTGTGCCTTTTCCGGTCTTCCTGGAGGCCCTCTTGGAGGCTTCTTGGGCCGTCAATTTCGGCCATCTTGGTGGGCTCCTGGCCCGTCTGACGCCGTCAGAAGCCGTTCGGGGAGCCTTCCTGGGCCGACTTGGGGCCCTCTTGGGGTGCTCCAGGGCCGTCTTAGAGGCCATCTTGGGCGTCTTGGAGGCCTCTTGGGTCGTCTTTGTGCCCTCTTGGGGCCGTCTTGGGGGCCTCTTGGGCAGTCCTGAGGCCATCTTGGAGGCCTCTTGTGCGCTGTGGGGGCGATCTTGGGGGCCTCTTGGGCCGTCTTGGGTCGTCGGAAAGCCGAGAAGAAGCGAATGCCAACATCCTTCAAACACCTAGGGGAAATCAATGATTTGGGCCTCTTCGGGCCCTCCTGGAGGACGTCTTGGAGGCCTCTTGGGCCGTCTTGGAGGCCTCTGGGGGGCCGGCTTGGACTCTCTTGGGCCGTCTTGGAGGCCGTCTTGGACCATCTTGGGCGAACTTGGAGGCCATCTTGGACCATCTCGGAGGCCATCTTGGGCCAACATGGCCATCTTGTTTGAGATTAGTTTGTGGACGTTGAGGTCGTTTGCGCTCGTGGAAGAGCCTCCTGGGTCCCCGGCGGGACGGGCCGAAGCCCCAGGGGGAGTTCTTTTGGAATAAAAAACAACACCAAATCCGTAAGAAGTCCAGCACGCCAGGCACCCCTGTGATGAATCAACAGGGGGCGGCGGACTAGTCGCCTTCGGCCCATCCCGCCACCGTGCCTGGGTTGTGGTTTAGAGGACTCTTGGAAGTTCGTTTGGATATCGTGGGAGGCCTCTCGGGGGCCTGTCGGAGGCAGTTGTGAGGCGTCTTGGGAGCCGTTTGGGGCCTCTTGGGGCCTCTTCTTGGGCCTCTTGGGGGCCACGTGGGCCCTCCAGGGGGCCTCTTGGGCTCTTGGGGGTCTCTGGGGCCCTCTTGGGGCCTCTTGGGGCGGAAGGCTCGAATTGTCGGTTCGTGTTCCCTCTCTCGGGCCCCTCTTTTTGGCCCGTCTTGGGGCCCCCTTGGGCGATCTTGGGCGCCAGTTGGGCCGTTTTTGGGCCCTCTTTGGGGCCCCGGTGAAGCCCCCTTGGGCGTCTTGGGCCGCTCCCCCCTCTCAGCGCGTGCCCCGGCACTGCCGCAGTGCGTCGGGCACCACAGGCTTGGGGGGGGGGGGGGGCCCTACGTTATGCCCCCTCCCGTCCCCGCCTTCTCCCTCCCCATGACGCCCGTTTTATGGACGCGAATCAACAACTGCGCTCCAGCTGCACGCACGGATGGAGCGCGGCTCCTTTCCAGCGTGGCGCTCGTGACCAGAGCTGGATGTGTGCAACACCTGCGAGGGTGGGGGGTGGTCCGTGCTCAAAGGCGGGGCTCTCGCGGGACACCCCTGTGGAGCTGCCTGGCCGTACCTTTCTGCGCCCTCCGTTCTGCTCGCGGGAAGGGTTAAGTCGGGCACGTCCCTCTACAGGAGGGATATTAAGAACAGTCAGCTATATGTATGTATATATATGTATATATATATAAAGCATCTTCTGACCATTTCTGAATATTTTGGACTATCTTTACTTTTGCGTCCAAAATCAGCCTGTAGGGGGACATGCCGACATGCCCGACCTGCTGGAAGGATGCCAGGCAGTTCCTGTCCAAAAAGTTGGGTCCTCGCCAGGATGGCCGGCCGAGGTGTTGGGTCCTCGCAGGCATGGCAGGCCGAGGTGCTGCCTGTCTGCCCGGGGGGCGCTGCTCCGAGCGGAAGAGGAGGCCTGCAGGGACTTCCCCGAGGAGGGGATTCGGGACGGGAGGCGCATTGCAGCATCGTGGCTGCGCCTTGGGCTTGCTCTTGTCTTCCTCAGTTTCCTCCTCCTCCTCCTTCTCCTCCTGGGTTCCTCCTCCTTCCCCCTCTCCTTCTCCTCCAGCTCGTCGCCCTCGCCGTCGTCTTCCGCTGGGGCAGGGCAGGCGCTGGAGTTCGCCGAGCTCCACGAGCAGGTCTGCACCTCCGCCTTCGAGGCGGTCGCGGTGGCCTCCCGCCGCCCCTGCGCCGCGCGCGCGTCGACCAACGGCTGACGACCGACGACGACGACGACGACGACGGCGACGACGGCGACGACGGCGGCGACGGCGACGGCGACGACGGCGACGGCGACGGCGACGGCGACGGCGAGGGCGAAGACGAAGACGACGACGACGGACGACGGCGGCGGCGACGACGGCGACGGCGACGGCGACGGCGCGCCAGAGGTTGCCGAGAGCGTGGTTGGGGCGGCGTGCGACGGACGAAGATCAGGGTCCACGTGAGTCACCACCCACCAAACCACCCCAACCCAACCCGAAGGTCTCGATTTGCCCTCCATTTCCAGTTGGGGGGGGGTCCGGGAACATTGAGCAAACACATATGGAACCCGTACCCCCCCCCAACCCGAAATTCGGGTCTTCGGGTTGGGTTGGGGTGGTCTGGTAGGTAGTCAGTGAGGGGTCCGGCGGGGAAGCCTGGACTCTCAGTGGCCCACTCACCGCCGAGAGGCCCAAACCCGCCCAGGAGCACGCGGGTTCGCTGGGGCCCCTTATCTCGGCGACAGCAGCTCGACGTTTTCCCTCCTCCCCTCCGAGCCTGGCCAGGTGATGGGAAGCGATCCCGACAGAGAGAGAGAGAGAGAGAGAGGCAGCGTGGTCCCACGCCGACGGGCCGCGGGCTGATCCACCTGTCAGGTCCTCACGAATCCCATCCGAGCTCCCACGGCGTGAGCACGAGGTGCCTCCCAGCGGTCCTCCCGTCGTTGCCTCCACCCGTCCTGCGGCCTGCTTCTCCACAGGTCGGAAGTTGATCTTTGGCTGTGCCTTGCGAACCTGCCTTCTGACCTCCCGGGCAGCGGGGCCGCACGTCGAAGTACGCCATGGGCTGTCGCCTCACCACCGCGTAGGCTGAGTCGGAGCCTTCCAACGTGCGTCTGGTGCTATTCCGTATCCGACCGCTCCGCACATGAGTGAAGCCACCGCCCCTTGGTGACGTATTTCCCTTTTAGTACCTCGAGCTCCGTCCTCCTGAGCTTCTCATGCATCGCATTCATGCGTTTGAATGCTCTTTTCTGTCGCTTGCTCTGCGTCTCCCTCTTGGTGGTGCCTCAGGCGGCCTTGTCTCTATCCCCAGGATTTTCTCCTCTGTGGTGATCTCGATGTCGATTTGGGTGTCTCGCAGTTGTTCTTGGATCCTTTGGCTGTCATTCTACCCTGGTGAAACATTTTCATGGTCGCCATTGTGCCCTCGATCACCGCCGTTCTGCTGCCTGGCACTCATGCTTTCGGTGTCGGCTCGGGTATACACATCTCTTATCCAGTGACCTTCGCCAGAACTGCATACACCACCGTCTTCGCTACGTTGTTCGAGTGTGTTGACCCATGTAAGATCGATTGGTTTGCGTATATGGGTCGTGAATTTGCTCCTTGCCATCGCAACACCCTCGCCGCCGAGTGCTGGATCATGAGCATGAGCAGCACCTGTGCCCAGACCCCCACCTGCAGTGCCGACTTGATCACACCGTCTTGCCATCGATGCATTTTTCAAATGATACCAGAGAAAACCCCAATCAGAAGTTGTTTGGGGCTATAGGGCTATTGGGCTATAGGGCTATAAGGCTATTATAGGGCTATAGGGCTATAGGGCGATTGGGGTATAGGGCTATAAGGCTATGAGGCTACAGGGCGCCCTGCACCCGGCACCCGGGCACCAACCCGGGCACCGCGGGCACCCGTCACCCGGGCACCCGGGCATCCGGCGGCGAACCCGGGCACCAGGGCCCGGCCACCGAATCGGCAGCGCACCTCACCTACCTTTATGATACCAGAGAAAAACCCCAATCAGAATTTGTTTTGGGCTACAGGCCTATAGGGCTATTAGGCTATAGGGCTATTGGGCTATAGGGCTATAGGGATATAGGGCTATAAGGCTATAAGGCTACAGGGCACCGGGCACCCCGGCACCCGGCACCCGGCACCCGGGCACCCACCGGGGCACCGGGCACCCGTCACCCGGGCACCCGGGCACCTGGCCGGGCATCCGGGCACCTGGGCCCGGCCACCGAATCGGCGGCGAACCCGGGCACCCGGGCCCGGCCACCGAATCGGCGGCGCAACTCACCTTCCCTTAAATCCGCTAGGACCCCTACAGAGGCAAGCTCTGATTGGGGAAAATCCGCTAGGACCCCTACAGAGGCAAGCTCTGATTGGGGAACCTGGGCCGAACTGGCCGCGGTATACGCAACAGTGTTTTTGTCGGCTACGGTGGAGACCAATGCCAAGAGGCACCCTGCTTGCCTTCAGGGTGCCCTGGGTTTCTTGGGTTCCGATGGTCTTGCTATGGAACGCGTGACGTTACCACACCAGAAATTGATGGATGTCCTGGGGTCTCAGGGATGGGTTTCTTGTGGAAGGTTTTTGTGGACTACCCTCCACTGTAGGCGCAGTTCGGTACCGCGAAACCCGGCGTAGCCCCGATCTGCGACGAGTCACTTGTTGTTATCACCAAACAAGATGTGCACACTGCGTAACGCGTCGCGTATCCCCTCCAGCCCATCAGCAACGATGCCCAGGTGAGTTGCCAGAATCAGGGAAGTGGGAAGCATGCAATTGAACACAGAGGGATGGGGAAGCCGTGCATCCGAAGTTTTGGATCAGCTTGAGCAGGCCCAATATTGAAACGCATGCGGCTTTGCGTATCTGTCGAGCGGGGGAGGGCGGAGGAGAAGGACGAGGAGGCGGAAGGATAACGAGGAAGATATGGAAGATGACGATGCAGATGCAGAGGATGAAGATGAAGAGGAGGACAGAGGAGCAGGAGGTGGAGGAGGAGGAGGAGGAGGAGCAGGAGAAAGTCGAGCAGAACGATGATGAGTTTGATTCAGCACGCTCTTACTGAACTTCTGGTTAAACCTGGCTGGGAGGACGATGGGGTGGATGAGGAGGAAGAGGAAGCAGACGAGGACGAGGAAGGGGAGGGGAATAGGAGGGGGAGGCGTGGGGGGGGGCGAGGAAGGAGAGGAAGAGGAGGAGGATGAGAAGGATGGAGGGGGCGACAGTCATGGCGACGACGACGACAATGACGACGGCGATTCAATCAACCATGAATTTGTGGACCTTTGCTCTTTTGTGAAGGCAGGCCACTGGCCCAAGTTACTAGTACGCCGAGCAGACGGCTTCCTTGCCAGGCAGAGGTAATAGAATGGCTTCGCTTGCGTCCCAGATGTTGAAGGCTCTTCATTTTGTTGTCTGTCTAGGGCGTCCAGTCACCACGGCAGCATCGTCCGCTTAAGGCGGGGGTGCGCAGAGGGCTATCTTGTCGGCATGCCATTGTGTTTGATCATACCATCGCATCACCATCGTCCTCATCAGCACCAGCATCCTCCATGACCACTTTGACTCAAGAAGTTTTGATAGGACTACCCTCGAACGAGCATCCTCCCTACTCTCGCCGCGCGTCACGCCGAGCTGCGAAGTCATGGCGGAGTCGAAGGTGAAGGATATGGGCCTCGCCGAGTTCGGCCGAAAGGAGCTCAGCCTGGCCGAGCACGAGATGCCAGGCCTGATGGCTGCGCGCAAGGAGTTCGGGCCGCAGCAGCCGTTCAAAGGGATGAACATCAACGGGTCTCTGCACATGACTATCCAAACCGGCGTCCTTATCGAGACCCTGCACGCGCTTGGAGCCAAAGTTCGTTGGTGTTCTTGCAACATCTTCAGCACCCAGGACCACGCGGCGGCGGCCATCGCGAAGGCCGAGACGTCTACGGTATTCGCATGGAAAGGCGAGACCCTGCAGGAGTACTGGTGGTGCACCGAGCAGATGATGACTGTGCCAGGTGCGGACGGCTGCGACCAGCTTGTGGACGATGGTGGCGACGCGACGCTGCTCATTCACAAGGGCAAGGAGTTCGAGGAAAAGTTTGCGAAGGACGGATCCCTGCCCGATCCTGCCAGCACGGACAACGCTGAATTCAAGTGCATCTTGCAGCTGCTGCGAGATTCCATCCCAGTCGACAAGACTAAGTACTCGCGTATGGCCGCGAAGTGCAAGGGTGTCAGCGAGGAGACCACCACTGGCGTCCACCGGCTGAAGGAGATGGCTGCGAAGGGCGAGCTCTTGTTCCCAGCGATCAACGTGAACGATTGCGTGACCAAGTCCAAGTTCGACAATGTCTACGGGTGCAGGCATTCGTTGCCAGATGGCATCATGCGCGCCACAGACGTCATGATCGGGGGTAAGCGTGCGCTGATCTGTGGTTATGGTGATGTGGGCAAGGGTTGCGCGTTTGCCATGCGGGGTGCTGGAGCCAGGGTGCTGATCACTGAGTGTGACCCCATCTGCGCGCTCCAGGCATGCATGGAGGGCTTCCAGGTGGTTACACTGGAGAGCGTTGTCAGCGAGATCGACATTTTCACGACCACCACAGGGAACTTCAAGATCATCACGCTGGAGCACATGAAGAAGATGAAGAACAATGCCATTGTCGGCAACATCGGCCACTTCGATAACGAGATCGAGATGGAAAATCTGGAGAAGTTCGCAGGCATCAAGGTGGAAAACATCAAGCCGCAGGTTGACCGCTATGTCTTCCCAGACGGGCACGGCATTATTGTCCTGGCGGCTGGGCGGCTGCTCAACCTCGGCTGCGCCACCGGACACCCGTCATTCGTGATGTCCTGCTCGTTCACGAACCAGGTCCTCGCGCAGATTGATCTGCTCACGGCGAAGGAGAAGGGCTACAAGAACAACGTGTACCTCCTCCCGAAAGACCTCGACGAGAAGGTTGGAAAGAGCGCCCTCTGCCCTCACTTTGCAAGTCCCCCCCCCGATTCGTATAGCAGCCTCCCACTCCGAAGCAGGGGGTTGCCCTTCCCACCACCCACGCCCACCACCACCCGAGGAAGGCGGACCTCCCCACCCACCACGCCCTGGTTGGCGGGTGCCCTTCTCCTGTTGACCGGGGGGGAGGGGAGGGGTTGTGAATTGTCAGTGTTTTGCCAGGAGC